GAGGTACTCGCGCTCAAATGGCGGCATGCCGCCATCTTCCCGAGTTTCGCGGTTGAAGATAAGGTTGATGCCTAGCAGTGTGGCGCCGAAGATACCAGCGCCGTAGAGCAAACGCTGTCGCAAATCTCCCTGAGCGACCGGGTTGTATGCAGCTTGCTGGTAACCCCTTCGGAAAGCTTGCTGGAACCTAGATACATTCTGCGAAGTTGATACCGTGGGCTTTGCAGGGCGAAAGAAATGCGGATGTTGCTTCAGTGGCGTGTTGTGGAAGGCGCGGATTGAGAGGGTTTGCGGTGAACTGTGTGTTGCTTGTCGCAATGTCGCCGTGATGGCGAACGGTCTCCGTAGGAGCGATGCCATTGTTGTGATATGCCTTCAGCAGTGTTGGTGGTGGTGCAATGGCGAGCGGCGGATATGGTGATATAGGCAGACGAGTTGATGACGTTTTGCTGGTGGAAAGCGCGAGAAATGCCAAGCCCACCTTAACTCCGAGGGAATCTTCAAACCCCTCCCCCGCCACATTGATGAGACATCGAACAACATCAGTCACGGACACAGTTTGATCTTCAGTTTTCTAGGGAAATCTTCTTTTGCGATCAAGACGTATAGCTAACCTCGATTATGTCCTGAGTCACAAAATCCTGAATATTTTCAAGTATATCTCCTCTATTCTCTCTTAGCAGCACTGCTCGGCAACGATACCGTCATTATTCTCGCGATCATCGCAATTCGTCAGAGTATACTTCTGAAACACCATGATTAATTGAGTATATAGTCTGGCTGACTGCAGAGACAATCAACTTCCGCAATACTTTCATAATGAAGAACATCATGAATTTCTAAGGCATTTACTTATTTCATGAAAGTATATGGGTTATACCAACTCCATCAATATCGAATAACCTCTCTCATATTGATACACATGTTGAGACTATTGATAATATTTGAGATGGTACACTGCCACTCTGATAAGTTCCTATTGCACCTGTGACGACCCATCTACAATACTACTAATCTATTTGTACAGTAACAAAGGCGAGACCACACAATGGGTCAGTCTCAAATCTGGCTGAAATCAATTAGTAAGCCGACAATTTATCGAGTGTTGCTATAACGAAATGGCTAGTGCGTTGACATTCAAAATCAGTACATTTCCTTGTATAATATCGCTTGCAACATATTCGGCGTGACTTAGAAAGTCTTTCGGAGATGATCGATCAACATTTCGACCCCCCATCTGTCAGTCCTGCTTAACATCAACCTCGAATCTTTTCAAACATACTCTTCGTTGAATATGAATACACTGTAAGGATCAAAACCGCCGGAATTCTTTTTTGTTTTAGTGCAAAATCAGGTTCTTCATATGGCCGTGATAATTAAAACATCCACCAAAATCGGTCTATATCTTGTGAACACGTTCAAAAGAATTCACACTGCTTCTCTTGTAAGTTTTTAGCACATCGATGTGCACACCCCCGATACAAAATTTCCCATAAGGAAGGGTGAAAGATTGAAATATCCACCCATCACCTTTGCGTAGAGTATCAACGGCGGGACTAAGTTGGTGAGGCAAAGTAAGACGAAGCTTTGGGTGCTGGCGTGGGTTTAGGGGAAGGTGGTATTGGAATTGCGCTGGTGTTGGGAAAACGGGCATGGAATTTGGAATAAATGGGAAGAGGAGAGAAAAAGTGTTGATAATTCTCTTAGTGGGACGTATTTTTTTGAGCTGTCTCGTTTTATTGAACTGAGATGGTAAGAGCAGTTGACATTATAGGGTTGCTTTCGGGCTTGACTGACGTTGACGCCTTCTCCACTCTTATACGATACAGTGATTAGTTACCACGTCATCGCATTTCCACTATCTCTTGCACTATCTTGGATATTAATAGCGCAGAGTTGTTTTTCAGACTTTAATTTCCTTGGTTTCTCCAGGCTTTGCGAAACTCCTCACAAGTATTCACACCAGCCCGAGATCATGTGCTGGCACAAGTGTTGCGGATCCCCGCGAACACATAAAAATGGATTTAATTTTTCCTTTCATCGCATTGGCAGAATTTGTTTTCTTCTTAACCGCTCTGTAGTTCGTAGTAAGATCAGGCTCTCGATCCATTGCACTTACGATTTAATGCCTAGGATTTGCGCTGCAAAAATTGACTGAGAATTCAAGAAGCACACATTATATGTATGGCTCACCAAAATATGAGAAGATACATAGGTCTGGCTGCTAGACCGACTTGCTGCTCCGGTTTGGGTCCTCACCGCCAGAATCCGTGGAGACAAAGGCATCAGAATGGGAGGTAATATTTGCGCTATGTAGCTACAGTCGATCATCCAAGAAAGGTACGCATGGACGCTGGTACCTTTCCTAGCAACAGACGTTCAAGTCGAAGTATGTTCGGGTCGATCTTGTTGATCGTATGCAGGTAGCGAGGGTTGATGCACGGGTCAATGCGGTGTTGCCTGCAGACCGGCGAGACTATTTGAACGTCGAAGAGGTGACCGTGTATGGGATTGTTGACCAATAAGCGCTGGTGATAAGCAATGTTGTTGCGTAGCAGTTGACTGATCATGCATAAGAAGCATCGCAACTGCGGCCCAAGATGACATGCAAGTGTCAGCAACGGCTTCCATGCAGTAGTAATACTCCGGCTATAAATATGGTCCTCCGACGTTGCAAGAAGTCCCGAACTGGCAACTTGCAGAATCGAACGCACCGAAAGCTGTCGTATCCATGTACAACTCTTTCAGGGAAGTCAGGGAAGGCATACCACGGAAAGGCTGGCGGTGCCTTGCTGACAACCCCACCTGTTCAAAAACAGCCGCTAACTGCCGACGTTACATCCGCCAAATTTTCACTGTAGTCGACAATATCAGGGATACTATTGGTGCACATGGCCTCTTTTTCAAAAGGCGTTGGTTTGATCCCAATATAGAACGCTCAAATTACTATGCTCCCTTTGGAAAGCAAGCATCACGCTGGCTCATTCTTCACAAGGCCGAGAGTTTATTCATGGTTCCAGAGATACCTTCATATCTTTTAACCCAAGTCCTAGAGTACTATAAAGCGGACTTGTCATGGTAGTTTTGTAGATTGAACAGAGAGAAGTGCTGATACGCTGGCAATCTCCAAGATCAAGTGTAATGCATTATCTGGAGGTCGCAGCTTACACCTTCTGGTAGTAAACCCGAGCCAGAGGCTGTGCGCGACGGTACGGGATGTGGGGCAGAATGAGAAGAGAAAGGCGATTTTTGAGGGAGGTAGGGGCAAAGTGAGGTGGAAGAAGGAGGGCAAGCCTAATTCGTGAGAGAGATGAATGATTGTTGTCCTCATAATGCTAGTAAGCAGATAACATATAGTCAATGTTGTTCAGCCAAGAGTATAGACGTATAGCAATGCGTGGTAATGTGGAGAGACGACTTCGTCACAATGATTCCATAGGGTGGGTTCAATGAAGTGGGCTCAGTAAGCATATTTTCGGTCCTTTTGGACCGTGATTTCCGAATTGCTCCTTGGTCAATGTATGCCAAGGTAGTCGGAGTCGGATGAAGTCGAACACGTCTCCAGGAATATCAAATCACCATGACACACTACTATACGCCGGTCAATGAGCCGCATTCTTGGTAGTAGTCCAATGGCTTTGATCCAATCATTTGAGCATCAAATTTCCCTGATACGTGTTTGTGGCCTCATTCAGTGGCGCAACGCCGGTGATGGGCTGGACAGATATCGCCCAGAAGAAGTGATATCGGAACGTGTGCAGATAATGCCTGTCGGATGTAGCCGTATAGCCGCACAGAATTGCGGCCGCGGTCAGAAAGGATCGGCACGTTTGACAAAACACAAAATAGTGGCATACATCCATATGCAGGGTGAAGAACCATCGGGTACATTCGCGGGCCATGTGATTGGTTTCCGTTTCAGGATCCATGGTCGGCATGTTTGCCGCCCCCATGTATCCACTCTGCCTAGAATCTTGGAACTATAGGTTGGTGTGTTAACGACTAACGCTGGGATTAGGGTTTGACTATGGGATTTGTGGTATTAGGTCCTTCTGTTTTGGGCAAACATGCGTTGATACGCCTTCCGGTGAAACCTTTTGGGCGGAGTCGGTCATCTATCTGGCTTGCAGTGTTTCTACTGACCAGGTAAAGTCGTTTGTGTGCCATGTTCTGTGTCCAAAAAAAACGTGGATGAAGGACCAGGGGCCAGCCCAGCACGTGCAATGGAGGGTCTGCCCCTAGCCGTTTGCATGGCCAAGTAAGCCACAGGGTTCCGGGATCGGATGATGGTTGTGGGGTCTTTCAACAGCGCTCAGTAGGCCGATGCGAGCAAGACGGATAATACTGAGCGGGAGGGCTGGGATCAGCATGTAGTGTTGGTGTGATGGTGCAAAGGATTGTGCACGAGAGAGGTGGGCGCCTTGCCTCATCCAAACGTTTTCGCCGCTACCGTCATGTATCACGTACGCGATTCCTAATCCCGTTCCCCAGCATGCACGATTCATTCTCGGCGTTTGTGCGCGCAGCAAGAAACCAGATCAGACCATATCCTGCACACTCACACGGCCAAGGCTCTTTGCCTCCCCACCTGGAGTGCGCAAAAACTTCGACACTGCAAGACCCGCAACCCACTCCACTGGGCTTTGTAGCAGCGCTCGAGGGGCCATGTGACGTCCAAAAGACCCGGCTCCCAGGATGCGACGGGGCTGTATGTCCACACACCGCCAGCGTTAGGCACAGTCTATAAGGGGAGTGAGAATCGCAAGACGTTGCTAAGACGTGGTCGGACATGCCGCCCAACGAACGATGGGCGTCGAAAGAAGCCCACTCAAGAAGGCTCGGCTGACGGCGAGGTATCTTGGCTGTCGCATACGCCGCTCCCCATCTTGGCCTCAACGGGGTGGTGAAAGCTTCGGCGCTGGCGGCGACACGGCTTGACTGCGGGGTTTGCTCGCCAAGTTTTGTGGCTGCTTCACCGGCCTGAAGCTTCTTTGTGAAAAGAGATGGCGACAAGCCTCCGCGGCGCCATGAGAGCTTGTGTAGGCTCAAGCATCAAGAGACTCTTTTCTTTGCCGTGGTCGGGCCTGGTGTTGTTGCGACGCTCCAATGTGGTTGTGCTTGCAGCTGTCCCGCAAAGTTACCGCCGTGCGGGAGACGCGAAGGAAAAAGTCCCCCATGGGGAAAAAGACACAACGGCGTCTGGCGTGGTGAAGATCAGCACACCCACCCACTTGTTTTTCTCCGCGCCGTCTCGAGAGCCTTTGCACACTGACGATGAGATCCCGGGTCAATGTCCGTTCCCTCACTCGCGCTGGCGTCGCCGCCGGGCCCACCTCGATTGCTTAGCGCAATATGGCGTCCTTGGCTGCCCCGACACGGTTACATCCACTGTCCATCCCCCAACAACCACTGCACACGCGCTCTTGGCTCTTCTTGGCCCGTATCAAGGTCCAGCGGCTGACTGACCAGGGCATTGATAGCACCGTTGCGAGGGCATACAGTGGTGCTGCAAGAGACTCCAAAAAGTATATATTCGACTTCCCCGCGTCCAGCCATGGGGCTATCACTGCGATCGGACTCGTGCCTACTATTTAAAGGCAGTCCTCCTCTTCTCCCATTGCCTTGAAATCCACTCTAGAGTGTCCTCAGTCCTCTAAATCATGGCGACCGCAAACCGTCCTGCTGACCCGCTGGCCAAGGGCGTCATCCCCACTGCCAAACAGAGTTTGAAGGACCTCTTCACCTGGGACCAGCGCATAGTCGTCACAAACGACTATGGCGAGGAGCACTGCGAGTGGCAGAGGCCAGAGCCTCTCAAGAACCCCATCAGCCTTTTCGCCCAGCTTGGCTGGAAGGACTGGCTGTACTTCCTGGTTGGATTCCTTGCCTGGACAGCTGATGCTTTCGACTTCCACGCTCTGTCCATCCAGACCACCAAGCTTGCCAAATACTACCACACGACCAACACTGCCATCACAACTGCCATCACCTTGACGCTGCTCCTCCGCTCCGTAGGTGCTGCCATGTTCGGTGTTGCTGGAGACAAGTTTGGTCGCAAGTGGCCCATGGTTCTTAACATGATCATTCTCGGTCTGCTTCAGGTCGCTACCATCTATGCCGGCACCTTCCAGCAGTTTTTGGCCGTTCGCAGTCTGTTCGGTCTCTTCATGGGAGGTGTCTACGGAAACGCCATCTCTATGGCCCTCGAGAACTGCCCGTAAGTTTAGAACAAGATTTACAGATTTCCTCAGTACTAATCTTCTCAGCCTCGATGCTCGTGGTCTTATGAGCGGTATCCTGCAGCAAGGATACTCGTTCGGTTATGTGCTCGCCGCCTGTGTCAACTTGGGCGTCGGAGGCGAGACCAACACCTGGAAGATTGTCTTCTGGGCCGGTGCCGGTTTCTCCATTGCCGTCGGTTTTGTCCGCATCCTCTTCCCTGAGTCGAAGCAATTCCTTGAGGCCAAGCGATCCGGCCAAAAGAAGGCTCCCGGCGCTTTCTGGGCTGAGACTAAGCTTATGCTCAAGAAGGAGTGGAAGATGTGCATTTACTGCATCATCCTCATGACTTGGGTATGTTTTTTTGCGAACGTTAAAATATGAAATATGAAAACTAATGTTGATTCAGTTCAACTACTACTCCCACACCAGCCAGGACAGCTACACCACCTTCATGAAGGAGCAGAAGCATCTCAGCTCCGCCGGTGCCACCCGCGCTTCCATTCTTATGAAGACTGGCGCTTGCGTCGGTGGTACTATCCTCGGATACACCTCCCAATGGTTCGGTCGGCGCCGAATGATTGTCTGCGCCGCCCTGATCTCCGGATGTCTCATCCCTGCCTGGATCCTCCCCACCACCGAGCGCGGCCTCTCAGCCTCAGGCTTCATGATCCAGTTCTTCGTTCAGGGCGCTTGGGGTGTTATTCCCATCCACCTGAGCGAACTTTCACCCCCTGCATTCCGCTCTTCCTTCGTCGGTATCACCTACCAACTCGGAAACATGATTTCCTCGCCTTCCGCCCAGATCGTCAACGCCGTCGCTGAAGCCACCATCATCAAGACCGCAAAGGGCGAGCCATCCCCCGCATACGGCCCCGTTATGGGCGTCGCTACTGCTATCATCGTTCTCGGCATTGTCGTCACCACCGCTCTTGGCCCCGAGAAGAAGGGTCGCCACTTTGAAGAGGCCGGTCCTATTGGCGCTAACATCACGGCTCCCAAGGATATCGAGACTGGCAGCATTCACAGCGAGAAGAACGGCGCAAAGGCCGTCGAGGTCATTGACAACTCCGAGAAGAACGAGAAGATTTAATGGGTTAAACGCGCTATGTATGTGTGACGGGTTTCACAAACTTACTTGATACCACTCTCGGTCACTGGAAGGACCGTAGTTATGACTATGCAACGAAAGCAATGCAAATCTTTTGAAATATCCAACCTACCTCTCTTCCCTTCTCCAAACGCCTCTTGAACTCTGCACTTGTGAAATCGCTAATCCATACATACCTCTCACCCTCGCCTTTTTCCCACCCAAGTCAAAATATTTCTACTCACATACTTGCTACTACCACAACTACCGTCGGCCAAGCCCGCAACTCCCATATCTCAGCGGCTTGGGATTTCCTTCGCTCCCCCCACACTTCCTTTCGCGCCCACAAGCCACCATAACCATCCCGTGCAGCAGAGCCGCAACAAACACTTCGGGGTCCCCCAAGATCGCCAAGCGACGCATGTACGGCCTTGGGGGTGGAGTCCAAAATCCTTTGGCATCGTGGCCTGATGTTAGCTCTGAGCGCGAGTTCTGAGCGTGAGCGAGGCTCTGCGGGTCTCGGAGCTCATAGCACAGTGGGCCCCATATCCCCAATGGATAGTAGATAGTGGGGGGTGTGCGGTCTGGGAGGTAGCCTGGATTGGGTATCCCGGCATTGAGGCGAGGGATTTTGCGGTCTGGATCCGGCTCTTTTTTGCTTTTCTGTTTTTTTTCGTGGGGGGGTGTGCGGAGGGGTGGAGGTTAGGGTGGGAGCTAGTGGTTTCAATTGTATGTGCATGTAGGTACAGTGCGTATGATATGGGAAGGCTGGGTCGGCTGGGACGGGTCGTAAGTAGGTAGTGTTGCGCGCATGCGCGCGTACCAAGGTGTGTGGAGTGGGGAAGCTGCAAGGGGTTGGGGGATGAGGTGGACGATATTTGCCTTTGCGGAGCGTGCGGGTGCATGTGTCTTTTTTTTTGTTTTTAAATCTTGTTTAGAGATGAGCATGTGTTTTGCAGTGGAATAGTGATCGAGCAAGTCGGAGGTTACTGTCACGTGCCTTGTGAAGTGGGCTTGACGTGCTGCACTAAGAATGGGGGCCAAATCTGCCAGCCCATCTTGCTTTCTCTTATCTCTACGCCACACGTGCATTTTATTACCCGCAATGTCTGAAGTAGAGAATGCCTACTGCGCGCCCAGGCCGAATTATTTATATGAATAATCACAGCGGTACTGTGTCTTGTACTTTCACTCATTCAAATGAAGGCTTAGGATGCTATTGGTATTTGACAAGGCAGATTTCTCTAAGCCAAACATGAAAGTGATTGGCCATGCACAACCAGCACTCAGGAAACGGTGGTGGCGTAGCCGGCAGGATCAGGCTGCTGGATTATCCCTCAGTAGTGCACAAGAACTCAGCCTTGTCGAGAGGCGACGGTCACTCAACCGCAAGCACTCCTCATCTGAAATTCATAGAAACGCGTCTCACCAATCGTCTACGTGTTGCTCCCGCTACTATCCTACTTTCACACGTCTATATTCTCTAGTTAATAGCTATGGAGGGTATAGGCCTTGGCATTGGCACTCTTGCACTTGTCGGTGTCTTTGGAGACTGTGTGGAACTCCTGTCATATATCGGAGCAGCAAAGTCAATGGGCCAGGATTACGCCGTGCTAGCAACAAAGCTCGACATCCAGAGAGTTCTTCTGTACCAGTGGGCCAACAGGCTGAATCTTTTCGATTCCATAAACTACGACAAGCGACTTGATATGCCCGAGATTAGGTCACCCGTCTCTCAAGGGCTTGATTGCATTCGCCAGCTACTAGAAGACGGCCACAAACTCGAGCAACGATACGGTGTTAGACCCGCCAAGATTCATGAATCAATTGAATTACCGACAGCTCTTAGTAATCGGCTGAGGTCACAATTCAGCCGAATGACACGCAAGCTTCGATCTCGTCGCGATGTTCAGCCACTCCAGCTATACCAAGCTGTACAATCCGGTCCATTTCCAGGCGATCGCCATAACACTCAACATGGTGCTGTCGACAAGGTCAGATGGATTATCAAAGATAAAAAACAGTTCGAAAGCCTCGTCCAGAGCTTAGCCGATCTAACTGCCGGCATCGACGCAGTCATACCTCAACAAAGCGGTGATTCCACGAATGTCGCACTGCAACACGAAATAACCAATTTGAGTTCTGTCAGTGAGCTAAAGACTATCAAGAGTGCTTTGCCGAATGAGGATATCAACATCACTTGCAGGGTAGAAAAGGCCATCGATCAGGAGTGTGCCAAATTAATTATCAACCGCCTTTGGTTTCGCTTGATTGATGACAGAAAAGGTTTTGTTTCTGCAGCACATTCCGAAACTTTTAAGTGGGCAATCGAACCTCCTAATCCTGGAAGCAATTGGAGCGACTTGGGTCAGTGGCTACGATCTGGAGCTGGTATATACTGGATCTCTGGTAAACCTGGAAGCGGGAAATCCACATTGATGAAATACCTCTTTGAAAAGTCCAAAGCCCCAGAACTACTGCAAAAATGGGCAGGGAGTCGGAAATTGACCATAGCTAACTTTTTTCTGTGGAACGTTGGAACCTCGGAGCAGAATACCCTTCATGGTCTGGCGAGAGGTCTTTTGTACGGTGTTCTGAAGGAAAACCAGTCACTTATTCCGTTTGCTCTTCCAAACATGTGGCAGGAGGCTCAGAGCGGTGTCAAAGACTTGAAGCTCCCTTCAAGCACGGAACTAAACTGGGCCTTCCAGCAACTTGGCAAATCATCTACACAAGGCGCATTCGCTTTCTTCATTGATGGTATCGACGAGTTCAAAGGCAACCATCGAGAAGGGATATCATTTATTCAGAAACTTGCTTCCAGCACGCACATAAAAATTCTGCTTTCAAGCCGGCCTATCGACACGTGTGTTGCAGCCTTCCGCACAAGACCTCAACTGAGACTACAGGATCTTACGAAGCGAGATATCGAAAAATACGTCAACGACACAATTCAGTCTTATCTTTGCCGAGATGGCGACAGTTATCTTGAAGAAGTCGATGTTCGAGAATTGATCATAACTCTGCAAGACAAGGCGGAGGGTGTGTTTCTCTGGGTCATACTTGCTTGTCGCACACTACTTGGCCGCTTTGATGCATATGACTCTGCAGAGGAGATCCAGCGGGCAGTTGACCAGCTACCAGAAGAACTCGAGGATCTTTTCCGCACTATAATCGAGAATATACCACAGGGGGTTCGGCAACAAGCATCGAAATTGCTGCGCGTCTGCTATACCCAAAGATCACTTCATTTGGAGGCACCCATTCCTACTTTTGCACTTTCATGGGCAGACGAAAAGGGCATGTCATTGGATAAGATGAAAGACTTTACTCAATGCTCACCTGATAATATGAAGAAGAAATCCGCAGTGCTAGAAGGACGTCTTCGTAGTCGGTGCAGAGGGTTATTGGAAGTACATGGCGATGCTTCCAAAGGTCACCTAACAAAGCCTCAGGAGGATAGTCCTTTCGTTGACTTCATGCACAGAACGGTATATGAGTTTCTTGACAAGACAGAGGTCCTAGAAATGGACTGTTTGAAGATAGACGACAATGGTTTTGACCAGACCGCAGCCTTGGGATGCATGTACTGGTATATGGTATTTCTCGATATGGACCCCTTCTCAGAGGAAAATTCCTATTTTTCATCTGGCTTAACGATTCTTGAAGTTATGGAAGCCGATTCGTTGTCCGGTTTGGCTGCAGTTCTTGACTGTGCTGTCATGACTTTGAAGAAGCCTCGGAAATTCGTTCATCAGCCCGCCAAAAACGAAGACAGACCCCTTGGACTACCGATATGTGAAACGGGGTACCTGGATCACAAATTGGAGTCAATATTTGGATTCTCCAGACACGAGCTAGATGACAAGCATGCTGCTCTGTTGTTGGCTCTGGAACTGGACCTAAATACTTATATCAAGAAGTCTGATGTCGAAGACTTTAATGCAGTACAAAGGTTACAGTATCGGGACAAGAGCCAGCGAGTTAATCTCTTGTTTCATGCTATCGGTCGGCCTATAGGGAATTCCCTGGGTTTTCTCCTTCCAGAAGGAACTGTATCAGCAACGACAATTGGGATTCTTCTGGACTCAGGGAACGACCCAAACCAGATAGTTGTGAAACAGGGAAAAACTACGACTCCATGGCTGATTTGGCTGGATGATGACTATTTTCGCGCTGGCCGAAGCTGGGAATTGGATGCCGCTCAAATAACAGCCAGGATGTTGAAGGCTGGTGCAGATCTTTCTCCCCAAGTCCCCCATGGCCTTGGCGATTTGCGAGTTTTCTTAAAAGGACGAATTGAGGAGTGGTTACATCCTACGCAAATGGGTTATTGTATTTATCGTTTGCATTTGCAAGACCATAAATATCGCATTGCCGTAGTGGCAAGTTGCTTGGAGATTGCAGGAGCCATTGGTTTCCAAGACGATGCGAAATTCACAGATAAGATGAGAGAATTTAAGCAAGGATTTGTAAATGGATAGAAGACTGGCAACTCCCCTCCTCTACAGCCCAAAGATATACAAAAATCTTCACGAACAATCTAGCATTAAAACCAATTCCTGTTCAATGTGTATTCTATCGCAGGAAGGGGTTTTTAGGTTTTAGTGCTGAAGAAGGTATTTTGAAGTTTTCTACTCAATTAATTTGTACTATAACGTGTTCTAAAGTAAAGGATACTCCGTCTCGCTACTTCAGATATGATCTGTAGTAGTCAATAAATCGATTATCACAATATACCCCATATCCAGACCCTCTTCCTGAAACATGTTGGTTTTCATCTTTGAGCCTGTTCATCATTTGTATCAACAATTGTATAATGATTCTATTGAGCTTATAATGAAAAAATAATTCGAAGCTATTAACATAAAAAAGCACTATTGCTAGAAAGCAGCTTCACAAAACGGGTCAGGCTACCGAGTTTGAACTCAATCTTTGCACTTACTAAAGCGGTACTCATTCTGCTCCGAGACATCTCACTCAACCTATTGATGGTAGCCAACCCATCATCCACAGACAACAAGATCAGGCAGTGCTGCACCACCGTCAGCCTTGGACTCCGCCCGGCTGCATACCCCATGGGAGACCTTTATATAGGACGTTAAACCTGAAAAAACAAACAAACAAACAGACAACAAGATCGATTGTACCACTCCCACTCTTGGTATTAGGAATAATGAGAGAGGGAATAACGATGGCTTTTCTACATCCTCACATGCAGTCTCGTCTTGAATACAGTAGCTTTACAAAATTCAAGTATCTTAAGGATACTACAAACTATCTACCGAGCTACCCATGTCAAATACTAGCCAAATTCTCTACCATACCCTCTTTCCTAATGCAAAAGTTGTAATTAACCTACCGTAACAACATCTCCTCCCCCATATCCATGTCCATTTCCTACCATGCAGCAAGACCCACACTCTCGCCATCAACCAACACACCTGAAAACAATGAGCAAAGAAGAGGAAGAAAGATATCAAATCAATGTCAAACATGGTATCATGGCATTAAATTTTATCGTAGCACAACGCAGCGCAAGCGGCGCCACCGCCGCCGCCCAAAAAAAAATCAAGCCAAGCCAAACCAACAGAAAAAAAGGAAAAAAAAAACATGGAAAGATAATACCATACAGAAACAGTACAAAAGAGTACAGTCAACAGTACAAGTACAACTCTATATGTAAAGAAAAAAAGATAGAGAGAGATTTCGACAATGGGGAAAATAAAACGATCCAAAACCATCTAGAGAACTTTCCCAGGTATTTTTCGATTCCCCCCCCTCCCCCCCAAAACAAAGGAACGATGCCAACTCGCTCACGAACTCGTTACAACATCACCAGCAAACGACCAACAACATCGAAGTACACCAACACCAACGCATGGAATGAGCAAAAAAAAAGAAAAAAAAGAGGAAGAAGCATCTTAACTTTTCCCCATTGAATCCCTCCACCGCCCGTCACTCACACAAACAAACTTGACATTGCGCCCGCGACTCCGTACGCTCTGCACACCACCGGCATCGAGCCAACGCCCCAGATTCTTACACTGACTGACATCAAAGCGCTCGAGGTCGCGACAACCCTCGACGACGGCCTCGACGCCCGTGCCCGTGACGCGTACGCAGCCGCGCACAGACAAGTTGCGTAGCTCGAGGAGGTGCAGCGAGATGCAGCGGAGCGAGGTATCTGAGACTGCGGAGCCGCAAAAGGCGAGGTTGAGGTGGGTGAGCGAGGGAAGGCCGAGGGCGAGAACTTCGGTTGCTGTGTCTGAGAGGGCGCAGCAAAAAGACTGTTGATTTGGAGAGGTTTCGGATTAGCGGATGATTGAAACTTTTTTTTTCGCTTTTTGATGTTTTTTTTTTCTCGAAGGGAAATAAGGGGAATCAGGGCCCTCTCTCGTCGTGTGGATTAGGGTAGTGGATTTGTTGTTTCTTCTTTTCTCTTTCGTGGCATGTTGATCCAGAAAAAGAAATAAAGTGACAAAAACAGAGGGTCTAAACTTACCAGATCGAGTTGCTTTAGCCCCTTGGCTGCATTGGTGAGATAAACGATTGCATTGTCGGTCAGATAGGTGCAGTCGGCGAGACATAGCTTGGTGAGCCTAGGGAAGGGATAGACGCTCCAGTGTTGGAAGCCTACGTCTGTGATAGTGGTGCAACGTGTCAGGTCGATGCTTTCGATGCGGTTGGCTGCGTGAACAGCAATGTGGGCCATGCTTCGGTCAGTAATGTGCTTGCAATAACTCAATGTTAATCGTCTGAGTTTTGGACAGCCGACAACGGTGCCTGGCGGTAGAGGTTGCGGTGGCTGACTGTTGGCGCCTTTTCCTTGTCGGCGCCCATTCATCTGAGCCTGTTGTTGAGCATGCGCCATGGCCATTTGAGGAGGCATGTCAGGTACTATCCAGCCAATGACTCGGGCAAGGAGGTTATCACCGACCTTTCTGCAGTTGCTCAGATCTACCTCCTCCAGACCCTTGGCTTTCTGTACCATTTCGAGAACAGCAGGTCCGGTAATGTCCCAAACGCTCTTCATACGCCATATCCTGACGCTCGGGCCACACGTCTTTGCTAGTTCTCCAAAACCCTCGTCTGTCACATGAAAGCAGTTGCTGATGTTGACGGACCTTGGCCGGCTGCCGGCAAAGGGACATATTATATCGATGAGTGAGCGGTCGGTGACTTTGCGGTTGTACTTTGTAAGATCAAGATCGTGGAGAATATCAGGGGATTCCGATATGAGTTTGCTCCAATGTGAAGAAATAATGCGTAGTTTCATCAGTTCATGAATGTCTAGATTTGCCAAGATGGTAACAAGTACAGAATCTGGCAATCGACCTCTTGTGTATATGCTTGGTTTTGTGACAAGTCGTGGGCGCTTGAAATCGAATGGAACCTCTGGCGGGGTAGATGCATGTTTTGCTATTGTAAAAGATGGCGACGGAGAAAGCGGTGAGCCATTAGGGGATGGAGTCCTTGGGAATTCAGTTTTGCCAGGACTTGCGGGGGCTTCAGATGTTGAGCCAGGTGCTGGTGGAGCGAGCGAACCTCTACGCGATCGTGATCTGACATTGTCCAGGTCGACGTTTAGAAAAGGGTCGGGATCGAATGGCTCCATCATTTTCTCGTCTCTCCGAGCAGGAATTACAGAGTTGTCGATGCCGAGTGTTTCATTGAAAGTAACGGTCGGGACGCTCTTTTTCCTCCGTGGAGTTCGGGGTATTGTGTAGTCTACTATGGCCAAGTCGTTGATATTGGGTGTGCTATGCGCATCTGGCATGAGCACATCGTCGTCTTTGGCAGTCTGTAAGCGCTCTTTAGCGACAGACTCGACCTGTCGCCGTACGTCTGGGGTGCACTTTTCCCACAGCTGGTTCAGTGTGTCTCCGGTGATCATCAGGCATTCGACAGCAGATATAGAGCGGACCGTGGCAGTGCGGCGTGGCGCCAGCGAAAGACTGACTACCTCACCAAAGTACTGTCCTGGTTTTAGTCGAGCCTTTACTTCTTGGAAATTGTGCTCGCCCGCGGCAATCGACTTTCTTCGTCCCTGGGTGGGTGAAGTGAAGCCGTTGGACTCGGGCACATGGTCGCTAATGACCTCGACTTCGCCCTTTACAATGAAGAAAACATCTCGGCCGTGGGTGCCCTGTTTTAAAATGTCTACAAAAGGATCGAAAGAACATGGTTGGGCGCGCATGCCGATGAAGTGCAGAATATCATCCGGCAGCTCGGAGAAGAGAGGCAGCTCTTTCAGCAAAGGCCTCACATGCAGGCTATCGCTTCCAAAGGCACTGTGGGCAATGGCTTCAGCAAGGCCGGGACTTGGAGATTTGCGCTTCTTGAAGGCATTGATCTCGCCATCACGTATAGTACCGCTCTCGGCCATGACCACATCACCGTCTTCACGGTCACGCTTGCCCGTTATCTGGCGCATGGGTTGTGGGCGCTTGGCCGATAACTCCGACTTCTTGCGCTGCAAAATGGCCAGGCGCTCTTGGGCCTCGTGCCTGATGGCGACCTCGACGTCGGGAAACTTGGGGAGCTCCTTGGTGAGGTCCTCCTTGTTCAGACGCACGACGAGGGAGCGAACATTGGCAATAATGGTGGCAGTGCGGGGAATGTCCATGAGGATGCCAATCTCGCCGAAGAAGGCACCGGGCTTCAATTCGGCATATGTGCTCTCCTGGTCGCGCGAGGTGACGCGCACAGCACCGCGGACCAGCCAGTACATGGCCTTGCCAGTCTCGCCCTCGGTCAGAATTGTGTCATGGGGTTGATACAGCTGCGGCTTGAGGTGCAGGCCGACCTGGGCGAGGAAGGAGTCGGGAGCAGCTTGGAAGAGGGGAAAGGAACGCAGGCGGTCGAGCAGGTCGAGCGGCAGGCCCTGGATGGTAGAGGCAGCGAGGGGCGAGGGGCGAATAGGTCTGGCGGGATTGGAGTCGCTATCGTATGCGCGCACCATGGCGAAGGGGTCTGGGACGGGCACGCCTCCATGAGCGCGGACTGGGCCACCGCCCGGCCTGTATCGGCGCATGGAGGCGGTGATGGGGGGAGCGTGGGAGCGTGGGAGGAGAGTGAGGTGGTGGTGGCCGGAGACGCGTTGTGGGAGTCGCGATAGCTGGTGCAGAGGCGGCGGGAGCGGGCTCGCAGTGGGGAGGGGCGGCAGCCGTTGACTAGCTGGCGGCGGTGTGGTCGTGTGCGGGCGAGTGGAAGCGGTAGAATGGCGGGGCAGGCTCAGCTCATGGTGGTTTGTGGTGGCTTTGGCTGGTACGAGGGCGCTGGGGGAGAGGGCGAGGGTTTGTGCAGGCGCTCAATGGGGAGTGGGCGGTATGCAGGTGGGCGGTCAGTAGCAGATGCAATGGATGGCGTGGAACAAAGCTGCCGCTAGACGGCCACTGCAACTCCTGTCACGGTTGACCGGCGGGCGGGACGCACTGAGCAAAGCAAGGGGCGGGCGGCAGAGGGTGTGGAAGTGGGTATGGCTATGGCTGTGGGCTGGGTTGGCTGCAGGAGAGTAGGCTATTTTCAGCGTCGTGGCCACAGTCTTGCAGGCCCGTCGTGCTTTTCGGAGAGAATAGAGGATGGATCGAGTGCGGGACGAGGCTTTAGTCCCGCAACGCCCGCCCTGGCTGACCGACCTTCTACTCGGCCTTCTCGAAACCGGGGCACGGACGGACTGGCCTGCCCTGGCCTGCCCTGTCATCCCATACCATCCTCCTGCTACACCACCACCACCACCACTACCATCATCACCACCACCGCCGCCGCCACTAGCCTGCCCCCCCGAGACCGCCAGTGTGCTTGCTTGCGAACGACACCCACCCACCCCGCTGCACCCGTGGGCTCTCAAGCCGCCCCATGGCCCCCGTGGCCCCCATTGCACGGCCCCCTCGCTGCCGCATCAGATCATGTCGCAGACAAGGCGCCCGCTCGTCGCACGTCATTCCCGCAACAAGCAATTAAACTTTGCCCCTGCTATTGACCTCCGAATTTCCTTTCCTCTGCACCCTGTATATACGCCGCGAGCAAACCCACAAGCAAGCGCCCAACAAGCCATCTCCCCTATATGTCATGAGCACGTGGACAGACATGGGTACATGTGTAATATGCATGTACTTAGACCTGACGACCCCTTGCTATTATCGCCTATCCTCGTCGTCCCATCTGCCCCCCTCCTGCCATCGTTCGTTTCTGCGACCGTGTCCGTTTCCATACTCACCCTCCCACCCCTCTCCCTTTGCTTGCTTCTTCTTCTGTCGCGTCTTGTCCCAGTGATCGGCTGCTTCCCGGGCGCTAACCCCTCCGATAATGGCTCCGGCGAGCGTTGCAGCAGTATCGTACTTCTTTCCTTTGCCCACTTGGTTGCCCGCAAGCCCACCTACCAATGCCCCTCCAATGGTTGCAATGAGCTGATTCTTTGCATCGCTATGTGCCAATTGAGACCGCGACTGCGACCGCGACCTCGAGCGCACCTGTCGTGATTTCGACCCTCCTCGTGCCCGAGAGCGCGGCGGAGACCACGAAGACCGTCTGCGGAGTGGGGCTGGTCGGCCATAATAATAGCCTTGTTCATCGGCTTGTCCATATGACTGTCTTTAGTCAGCTATTTGTCCTTGCCTCGCCACAGAGACGACGCACTTCTAATTGCGTGTTCTGTTCGTTGTCGTATTCAGGCTGACGGCGAGGCACTCTGAATCCTGGCCCCGGTGCTGTGTGCATGTAGTCCATTTTCTCGGCCTCGCGGTACCGCTGGTCCCTTGCATACCCGTCCTGTTCGTTTGGCCTATACATTTTACGGTCAGACTTGTAGCCGTATACGTCGTCCGAGATGGGGCTTGATGGCTCGTAGCCCTTGTCAGGGTGCTGTGGTGGTTGCCCGGAGGGTAGCTGTCTTTGCTGCTGGCGATATTTGTTTCTTCTTGGTCTTGGTATGTTTGGTAGATGATTATAGGTTCGGTCCCAATATCGATTTGCGAATCTATCAAGGCCCTCGAACCCGAGCTCCTATATATCATCGACGCAATCAATCAGCAGACTTCGTAAGAATGCAGTAGCAGCAGGACAGCAAGGATATAGGCCACATACCACGAACTCTTCTGCCATGGCAAATGACTGGTTTCGTATTCTTTGTGGTTTGGTGCTTCCGGGATAGCCGTCTTGGTAGACTTCACCCAGAATCCGTTGATGCGGATACTGAAAACACCCGCTCTCATAGCGTATTTCGCCCTCCTCTTGGCCGCCTTACACTCGTCCACCATGCCGGTTTTCCAGTGTTTCTGCAAATGACGTAGGGAGCCGCTAAGCCGCATTTGAGCTAGTGGTAGAACGGCTAGAGTGAACCGAGTGAACCGTCCCCAGAAACGGGAAGCTGCGATCTCCAGGTGCCCTGTGATAGCTGCGCCCCAACCACAGCACTGCACCCAACCCGGCCCCCAAAATCTGACTGGGCTATGCATCGGCATCCTTGGTAATAATCACCTCGCATAATACCCAGCATGATTGCGCGTACGCCAGTATCCGATTAGATTATGTAGAGTGCTGTCTTAGCTCTAGTCTGCGTTTCAACTCCTCTACTCTATCCAATACCTCATCTACCCCACATTGTTTCCTTCTCACACTCACCCCACCTCGTGGACTGACTACACAGACTCCACTCCACGCGACCATGTCACTTTCTTTCACATCTAGAGTGTTGGAAATCGAGGCCATCATCGATCACGTCTTCTCCAAGAAACGCCTCGCCGCGGAAGCAGCTCAAATGGCAGCGCCACTGATCACTTTTGTCGAGGATAACGCCTTCAAGCCTTTGTATAACAATAAGAGACTAGCAATCCTAGGAGAAGCAGTCCTTGCAAGAGAACTTTGTAGTGCCTGGTTTAGGATGCGTGGGTCGTATGGTAAATCACGGCCCCCTTGCTCTTGCTAGGCTGCATTGCTCACAACGACAGACGAGGCCCTGTCCCCAGCACAATGGACGCAACTGCGTAATGACATGATCTCTAATGATTCATTGGCTCGCAGAGGCTACAATTCCGGAATTGACAAGGTCATCATCACAGCTAGTAGTACACCTCACGTGTCTCCTAAAATGGTCGCGACAACCCTTGCAGCCATCATGGGAGCAGTTCACGAAGATGGAGGAGACACTGCTGTTCACAAAGTCATGCAGCACCTTGGATTCTTCAACCACACTCTTCTTACAGTAACGTCTTGATTCCTTTCATCCCCATCCTCAACATGAGCAGCAGCTTGCTATGCACTAATTAAGACACTACTAAATCCTTTCATGGCTTCTTCGAGATACCACCCTTCAAATCAGCTCCAGGTCAATTTAGCAAAAGCCGGACGGTTCATGGAACTCTTTGCTGGATTAAAATCTCATTTGGGGTTCGAATGCAGCAATGAAATTTCTTATGGCCCTCCTGTCCTTACTTTGTGGACATAGAGCTGCCTTACAGAGTGTATTCTAGATCAAGCCGTTCACGGACCTACGTAGCCAACTGCGACTACGGGATAACCGAGTACAACATTTCGTATAGTTTCTAATGTTATTACGAACAGCCTTATTAATGATATACTACTAGTTTGCTACCTCTGGCTTGCCGAGCAAAATCCAATAGCAAACACGCGTTACTGATCGAAGTGGTCATTCAACATGCCACTTTTTGTTGTTTTCAGAGCAAACGATGCCGTTTTTGTTTTTGTCTCTTTGTTGCGTATGCATAAATACACACTCATATCTTACAATTGCCTTTTCCAACTCAAAGAACCTGCTGTACCACTTTCTTTCGCCTTTATCAGAACCTCTCGCTATGGTATCGCCAAATCTAATGAGTTACAGCAACTGGCTACCACTGACTCGATATGCGGCGTCCAAGGTAACAGCAATCCCCCTCAAATCGCGTTACTCCTTCCCATGCGCCCATTTCCAAACAACTGCGCAGCGAAGATACAACACCCCTACTATCAATATTGATCATAAAATCGCCGGCGTTGAAAAAGTCTTCGACTACTACTTCAAGGACAAGATCATTTGCGCAGAGTCAGTCCAAATGGCAGCTCCAGAAGCGCTCCTCAGCATCAAAGGCCATGAGTACAGTATTGCACACAACAAACGCCTAGAGCTTGTCGGAGACAAGATTATGGATCTTGTCTTATCACAAAGATGGTACCAGGTCCGCAATCAAAATGGTATACACCCAGCTGTACTATATATCTATCGTCATTGATAAAAACTAACAAGAATAGGCCAAACCAGTCCAGTAAGAACTTGGAATGACATTCACAAATCCCTCGTTTCGAATGAAGCTCTCGCAATGCGTAGTTTCAAGCTCGGTCTCGACGCTTTTGTTGTCCCGGCATCTGGCGTACACGTCACGAAGAACATGATGGCGGACGCGTTCGAAGCCATGGTCGGAGCCGTGTCACTTGATGCGGGAGAAGATGCTATAGAGGCTGTTCATGATGTTCTTGAGCGTACTGGGTTCTTTAATCATCCTATGCTTGTAAGGTAGATTTCTTTGTTGCCACTTTTCACCGTACGTAGGAGACGATTGCATCTTGCAGCAGGTGGATTAGAGTTTTGCATTGTGGTGACGATGGTCCCTTTGCATCGGGGACTACTTGCTGTATAATAATAGTAGATGAGAGGCATGTTACTAACTCGTCGTGCAGCAGGACCATAGTGCGAAGTTAAGAGCCGTTCGAAAGAGAGTTGGAGTTCATCAGTCAACTTTGTGGAAGCATTGGTGATTGTGTGCGCCGTGTTAGATACGTGTAGACTAGAGAACACAGATAGAAAACTGTTGCAGTTTGTTTGGGGGTGTAAATCGAGAGAATTCGATTCAATGACTTGGTAGTTTCAATTGCAAGCTTCTAACGATTTACACTCGTACTGAAGCCCTCCATTCCTTCATCTAGCCCCGCTCTAGCAAGCTCTTTCATCGAGCGGCCCTGCTGTGAAGCAGGTACTTCTAGAGACCCAAGGCACGCCACCTCTTTCCACAACGCCTATGGCGCTAGCCACAAATCTTCTTGGCCACTGCAGGTTACTGCTGGCCTTGTGTTTCGAGTGCTGAGTGATGCTCTATGGCGTTCGACACATATTGAGTTGAAATGGCACCATATCTCCCTCCTTCATCCAAATCGCTTTCCATAACCCTTCACGACATCATCTAGTATACCGCGCATCCTCTTGCAACCCTCAATCCCCACAGCCAGCATACTCTCCAATCTTTCCATGCGAACTCTACTCTCCATTACACATACCGCCACGTTATCACTCTCTCCTAGCGTCGCCACCGTCAAAAACGGCAACTCCAACTCCTCCTGATTATTCAGATCCAGCAGCGGATCATCCGCCGACGCATTATCCGCTGCCTCCGCCGATGCAGACGAAGCCGCCGTGCACGCAACTAGGTAATCCGTCATGGGTATCCCCGCATCCACCAGCGCCAGCGTCGCCGCATTTAGACACGCCGCCAGCAACGACCCATCCTGCGACACAATATGCACATTAATTGTAATCGTCGATCTTGGGTACAAATGCAGCGACACCACCCCTTCAAATGCCGACCGCAGGCAATGCTCCATCTCGCTCGTCTTCTTGTCCGTCTTGCGCTTTCGGCGGTCCACGCCGCTGAAGCCTGCGAAGTTTATTTCAACGTCGATTTTCGCGAGCTTGTCGCTGGTGGTACCGCGTTGGCCCGTTTGCTTGCCTTCTGCGGCGGGGCCAGAGACAGATACTAGAACTTTGGTGTTGCCCATTTCGAGGTAGGAGGACCCGTCTGCGGCGGCTTGCGTGGAGATTTGCGCATGAATGTGGCGGAGCTCGTTCCAGCGGCGGCCGTCGAGGCGGAGGAGCGCGAGGGAGTAGGTGCTTGTGTCGAGAGGCATTGTGATTTGATATTATAGTGTTAATTTAGATTTTTTTGTTTTTCCTCGCAGACTGGAGGATAAGAATATCGGGCGACCAGCTTATTCGTAGGTATTTCGGGTCGTTGGACGGAGTGGCTTGGTCGCGAGCGACAATGACGATACAAGTTCAGAAAGCTTGGGGCTATGATATTTTGAACCATGCTGCAGCGATCTGCAGACAAGCGGGGCCCCGCTCTCACGTGAGGACGCGTTAGCGCGCTTGTCGGAAGCAGCGCTCCCTTACCTTCTTCCACTTGTCACTCGTCGCTAGCGATATGCCTGTGCGACCTTTGGTTCCAGGCACCAATTCGTTCAACTACTTTGTCAAAGGTGCAAATCACCCCATATGACCGGCGCTATCATTTTGAAATCCGGTAAAAGTAGTTACGACATCAAATCGCGACAAGTCAAAGGGTCAACAGGAAGCCTTGAAAGCTTTCGCCCAAAGCGAAGAGATGGGTAGTAGTGATACTGATGACGATGGCCTTGATATTATAAAGACATCGCGTAAAGATTTAGATATTTCTCAGTACATAGATGGTTAGTAGCTATCAGCCTCCACCAATCAAGATGCTGACGATTTCTAGTCCTGGCGCAAACTCAGACTCAGTCGCAGAGTGTAGATGTAGAGTGTGAAGAAAGAAACGCGGAAGAGTCAAGTACAGAGGATGATGAAGCTTTCCAGCAGTTCCAGGACCCAAGAACCAAAAATGCAAATGACTCTGATACCAACGACGCTGGTGAAGGGTCTGAGTGGTCTGAAGAAGACACCAGAGCTGTCTACCAAAACTGGAAAGAGCGCAGAACTCTCAAAAGAAAGCGTGTGGCTGCTGAAACTAACCGGATCCGTGTCGAGAAGAGGTCAAAAGCTGCAGCTGCTGCGAGCATCGTGGGTCGTAAGCCTCCGTCTAGGAAACGTCAAGGCGACGGCCCTATAGGATTCAGCACCGACTCCTTAGCGGATGACAGTGCCGCAACAGCATTTCTGGATGATCCAATTCCCGACTACATACTCTCGAGACAACAAGCTTTTAGAAAACTCCACGAAGCTGGCCTACGGTACCCCCCCAACTACCAGGATATAGACTTTTCCAACTCAGAAACGGCAGAAAAGCCACAACTAGACAAAGCGATCAAGCCACAGAGGGAAAAGAAAGACATAATGCTTCGCAGGTCGCAAGGTGTTATACCAGCACCTATCGCGCAATGGCTGCGTGATTACCAAGTGGAAGGCGTTCAATTTCTACACGAGAAATTCGTGAAGCAAACAGGCGCCATACTTGGCGATGATATGGGCTTGGGAAAGACCATTCAAGTCATCGCATTTCTGACAGCCGCATTCGGAAAGACGGGTACTGAACGTGACGCCAAGTGTATGCGTAAGATCCGTCGCTTTGGCAAGAATCGGTGGTATCCTCGCATCCTCATTGTCTGCCCTGGCACGCTGATGCAGAATTGGGAAGATGAACTTTCGAAGTGGGGTTGGTGGGAAGTGTACCGATATCATGGCTCCAGCGCAGCAGATCGTAAGGGCGTCCTTAGTGCTGCGGCAAAGGGGATGCTAGAGATCATGATTACGACATACACTACATACCGTAACAACGAGAGCGAGATCAACACAGTGGATTGGGATTGCGTCATTGCAGACGAATGCCACCAGATCAAGAGTAAGGATGCGGAGATAACAAAAGCTATGAACAAGATCAACGCACTTTGTCGCATCGGCCTGACAGGTACTGCCATACAAAACAAGTACGAAGAAATCTGGAATCTTCTTAACTGGGCGCGGCCTGGAGCGTATGGTTCATCTCAAGAGTGGAAGCAGAAGATCAGTCTTCCGCTGAAGATGGGCCAGGCTCACGATGCTACGAATGCTCAGCTTGCGGATGCGCGAAGTCGGGCTCAGGATCTCGTGCAAAAGATCCTACCAAGTGTGTTTCTCCGACGAATGAAGACTCTTATTGCCGATCAACTACCTAAGAAGAGTGATCGCGTCGTCTTCTGCCAGCTCACCCAAACCCAAGCTGATGCGTACCGCACCTTTCTCGAGAGTGATAGGTGTGAGTTCATTAGCACTGCAAGGGAAGAATGCGGCTGTGGATCGGGGAAAGGCAGGGGCTATTGCTGTCATGTCAACGTTCCGGATGAGGATGAGAAATGGGCAGCGTTCATCTTCCCGTGCATGGTCACTTTTCAGAAACTCGCCAACCATCTTGCCCTCATCGTGCCGCTATCGACTGATTCTGCAGAGAAACAAGCCAAAGATTTGAAGACACTGGAGTTGGCATGTCCCGATACGTACAAAGATCTCTTCCGAATCCGCGATAACATTCTAGTGCAGTCGCAACGAGAGTTTTGTGGGAAATGGAAGGTGTTGAGGCGTCTGTTGGATTTTTGGCATTCGAATGGCGACAAGGTCCTGATATTTTCGCATTCGGTCCGTCTCTTGCGGTTGCTGAGAGGCTTGTTCGATGTCGATGGCACAAAGTACAACTTCTCGTATCTCGACGGTAGCATGAAGTACGAGGAGCGTTCGCAAGCCGTTGCAGACTTCAATGCAGACCCGAACCAATTTGTGTTTCTCATATCCACCAAGGCTGGTGGTGTCGGTCTCAACATCACGTCTGCCAACAAGGTCGTCGTTATGGACCCTCACTGGAATCCAGCGTACGATCTTCAAGCACAGGATCGCGCTTACCGCATTGGCCAGACAAGGAATGTTGAAGTGTTTCGCCTGGTGTCGAGTGGTACTATTGAAGAGGTCGTCTATGCTCGTCAGATCTACAAGCAACAGCAAGCAAACATTGGCTACAATGCTTCGGAGGAGCGACGTTACTTCAAAGGCGTAATGGACGAGTCTAGCAAAAAGGGCGAGCTCTTTGGTCTTGAAAATCTGTTCAGCTTTCAAGAAGACAGCGTGCTACTTCGCGACATCATGCATAAGACTAACGTAGCCGAGTCCAAAGCCGGTGTAAATGCCTACGACTTTCACGTCGATGAATCGCAGTTCGACTCGGAAGACGAAGATATACTTTCGAACAAGAATCTTGGCATTGATGACAATGCCAATATCGCTGGGATAAAGAAACTGGCTGATTCCTTCCTCTCGACTTCCAGTGCTGGTAGCAAGCCAGGCAGTAAGACCAAACACGGCGGGACCGATCCGATCAATGCCATTCTTGCCAAAGCAGGTGTAGAATACACCCACGAAAACTCCGAAGTCATTGGGCGCAGCGAGATAGAGGCTCGATTAGGCAAACAAGCTATGGAGTTACGTAATGACATCGATCTCGCAAGTGAGCGTGTGTTCCAAGCCTCGCAATCGCAATCACAGCGTCTCTTCAATCAACCGGGAATCGAGCATGGGATTCACTCTAGAGACGAAGATGTCGAAGACGGGCAGATAGTTACGGCTGCTACTCCTGGTGAGTTCAAGATCAATTACCGGTATAGACCTAACGAGCGCGTGCGGAAACGCCAGTTCTGCAGTATGGCAGAGAGCATGGGGTTTGATGATCCGGTTGAGTTTGCGTTGCTTGTGGAAAGTAGTACGCAGGAAGAGAGGAGGAAGATGCTTGAGCGATTCTATCGGGGCCGGAGGAGGCGGATAATTAAAGAGCTTGGCGGTTCGAGGTAGTAGAGCCACGGAAATATTTGCGAGAGTGAAAGTCAAGAACGCGATCTTACTTCGGTTTCTGCTGTTCGTTTTTTGCTAGTACTTCTGTACTGATTCAGGCAAAGTTCACTGCTGATGTTGATGTTCATCAAGTAATGCTGAGGCTCCATTGCAGCGTTTCGGAATAGTTCCTTACCTACCCCACTTATGACGGCACCTTATCGGCAGTCAGAACTACCCCAAGATTGGTAGTTTGATCCTGCTCCAATTTTCATACAGAAAGCTAAGAAGAGCGATTCAACCTTCCCTGTGTGCCAATGGTAAATCTTTGCGCATCGCATCCTCACTGCAGACGTTCACCCCCTCAGCAAGCTTGCTAGTATCACCGCCTCACAGGTTTCAACCGACAACCTGGCAAGTCACATAAGATATCGCTGTTGTCTTCAATGCAAGCCTGGGTATCGCAGTCACTAGCAGATTGTTGACATCACACAACCGACGTAATAATGTCTTGGATCGTATTTGCGCCATGGATCCTCCCGGCAGCATTGATGGCATTCCTTTACAGTTATATCCTATATCCCTTTTTCTTTAGTCCATTGTCACGTATCCCAGGCCCCAGGTTCTACGCCTTTACTAAGTGGCGACTTGCATGGGACGACTGGACTGGTCAGCGGACACGCAAGATCCATGCCTTGCATCTAAAGTACGGACCAGTGGTGCGCATCGGGCCGAACGAAGTGCACTTCAACTCTCTCTCAGCATTACGTACCATTTATGGTGCAGGAAGCGGGTTCGAGCGCACAGAATTCTATCGGATGTTCGATACATATGGACGGAAGAATTTATTTACATTCGCAAGCGGGATAGAACACTCGCAGAGAAAGCGACTGGTAGCTCGCCCGTATTCAAAAAGCGGCCTTCCACATTACAAAGTCGAAGAAATCGTGCGAGCGAAGACCAGGGACTTTTTGAGACTGGTGGAAACGGATGGTACCCGTGGAGACGGCTTGGAGATCTTCTCGGCGCTTCACTACTACTCAATCGATATCATCACCACGTTCTTGTACGGGACTCCAAGTTTCGGCGCGACCACCGCTCTAAAGGGGACACCAGAACATGTCAAGTTACTAGACGACATCATGAACCATGCTCGCCGGCGACTATCCTGGTTTGCAGTCCATCTACCCTCACTCACGAAATGGATGTACACTCGAACGGGGCTGGTTGAGAGCGCTATTCGGCCTTTCCTACCCATGGCCAAGCCCGCAACTTACTCCGGCATCCGGGCACATGCACTAAGATCGATGCACGCTTACCGTGATGCAGGCGAAATCTCGCGCGCCAAAGCGAACAAGTCAATCATTAGTGAGCTATATACTTCACAGTCGAAATCCAACACCAACATGGATGACCTGGATATTGCCAGTGAATGCGCAGACCATCTCCTTGCTGGCATTGACACGACTAGCGACACACTGATGTTCCTCATTTGGAGTCTATCCCTGACTCGGAATGCACATGTGCAGCGAAAGTTAATTGAAGAGTGCAAGTCCATACCCGATGACGGCATCACTGACGGTAGTGTAAACGTAAGGGTCGCGGATAGCATGCCGTACCTGAATGCAGTTGTCAAGGAAACGCTTCGTCTTTTTGCCCCACTGCCCTCATCCGAGCCAAGGTTGAATAGAGCAGACACGGTAGTTGACGGTTACGATATCCCGCGGGGTACAGTATGCAGTATGGCGCCTTATTCATTACATCGGAATGAAAATGTGTTCCCTGACTCGTCCACTTGGAGGCCTGAAAGATGGCTAGACGCGGATAAAAGCGAGCTAGCAGAGATGGAGAGATGGTTCTGGGCATTCTCGAGTGGAGCTCGCATGTGCGTCGGCATGCAGTAAGTGACTTTTGCTGTGTTCCTCGGTGAATCTACTACTGACGTATTAGCCTCGCCATGGCGGAGATGGCTTTAGTGCCATCGCTGTACCGGAAATACGGGTCGAGGGTGCTTCCGGGACAAGAAAACACGGCACCGGGTATCACATCTAGGTTCGAAGTATTTGCCGATGACACGTTCCCGGAGATGAAGGTCAGTGCTTCTACTAAGAGCCTCTGGCATGTGCTAACGATCGCTAGGAGCATACGTGCTGGGTGGAGTTCACTCCTTATTAACAATGAAAGAGGGGAACAAGACCAGGTTCCGGGTTGTCGGCTCCACTTAATGGCAGTGTTTGCCGGAATGTGGGGTGTCTTGATTTTCTTGAGCCTCGGATACTATTGCCAAAGCCTTGTAAAATTCTTTCTTGTTGCCCATATAGCATGGTCATGTGTCCAATCACGAATCTGCCGGTATATCTTCGGTTCCCAAAGCTTTGGCTAACTTCGGGGGCTTTCCCCCCGACCACGCGCTCCCCACACTGCACTCCACACTCCGGTTCTTGGCATCGTCTCCAGGTGCGATGGAAGGCAAAACGTTGGCGCCAAGTGCAGCCATACGATGCTTGCTGGACTACCTCCCAAGCCAATAGTGTAGCCGAGGATTCCCCAAGAAGAAGACACCGACGGTGGTCTCTCGGCTCTTGTACACATGATAGACAAGGAAGACGGAGTATTGCATGGCGAACAATGTGAGGCTGGAATACAAGTATTGGGTCATAGTCTGCCCAACGGATAGTCAATTGGATCTCTCGTCACTACCCACAAAGTGCCTCGTTCCTCACTACCGGCAAGATGGTCGCTCGCAATCGCAGTCAGCGCAAGCTGAACACCTTCACCACGCTGTTCTTCGCTGCAACAGCCATGTCATCGGCAATTCGCACACCATCGTTTGGCAAATCAACATATCCTCGTATGACATCACGTTCTACTGAGATGGACTCTGCACCATATCGGGACTCGACACTTTCAGTTGATGAGCGAGTCGAGGATCTTGTACAACGGATGACCGTTGAGGAAAAAGCAGGCCAGCTTTTCCACAACATCATCAACCAAGGCCCAAATGGAACCCTGCTCAATAACACGAGGGAATCTGTGGAGGGCAAGCTCATGACCCACTTCAACCTTCACGGGCCGATTGCAGATGTACGCGCCACCGTGCAATGGTACAACAACCTGCAGCAAATGGCGCTAGACACAAGACTGGGCATTCCAATCACAGTCTCCTCGGATCCGCGTCACGCATTCACCAACTCTGAAGGCAGTCAGATTGCAGCAACAAAATTCTCACAATGGCCCCAGACGCTTGGCCTAGCTGCGATCAGAGATGCTGAGCTCATCCGCACTTTCGCTGATATTGCTCGACAAGAGTACAATGCTGTTGGCATTCGGTCTGCCCTACACCCTCAAATCGATGTCGCTACTGAACCCCGCTGGGCCCGCATTGGTGGCACCATGGGCGAGAATGCCACTCTGACTGCTGAACTGACTGTTGCATACATTGAGGGATTCACTGGTCCTAACGGTTTTGGACACGACTCAGTCACCACAGTCTCAAAGCATTTCCCCGGCAGTGGTCCAGTCGAGGGTGGCGAGGACAGTCACTTCACCTACGGCAAGAATGCCACATACCCTGGCAACAACTTTGAACACCATCTTATCCCATTCAAGGCTGCTATTGCTGCCGGAACACGACAGATGATGCCTTACTACTCTCGCCCAATGGGAACCAAGTATGAGGAGGTCGCTGCTGGTATGAACAAGGGAATCGTCACTGATCTTCTGCGCGGCGAGCTCGGCTTCGACGGCATCGTAGTCAGCGACTGGGGTCTCGTCACTGACGGCATAATCTTGGGCCAAGACATGCCCGCTCGAGCCTGGGGAGCTGAGAACCTCACCGAGCTCGAACGCACTGAGAAGATCCTCAATGCAGGAACCGATCAGCTCGGTGGCGAGGACCGCACCGACCTCATCCTCGAGCTCGTAGAGAAGGGCATCATCAGCGAATCCCGCATCGATGCCTCAGTCCGCCGTCTCCTCCGCGAAAAGTTCCTCCTCGGTCTCTTCGACAACCCCTTTCTCGACGCCGACGCTGCCGTAGCCGTCGTCGGCAAAGACGAATGGCGCGCCATCGGTTTCGAAGCCCAAAAGCGCTCCTTCACCCTCCTCACAAACAAAGACTCCTTCCTCCCCCTCTCTGCTTCAGATTGTGGAAAGTCAAAATTCTACATCGAGGGCTTCAACAGCACGTTCCTTACCTCGCGCAACTTTGAAGTCGTAGCCACGCCCGAAGAGGCAGACTATGCTTTCCTGCGCCTCGTAGCGCCGTATGAGCCGCGTCCCGGCGGTTTCGAGGCGAGCTACCACTCTGGTTCGCTTGAATACAACGCTACGGAACGTGCGCGCCAGGCAGCTATCTACGCTACCGTACCTACCGTTGTCGACATCTTCCTCGACCGCCCCGGTGCGTTCCCCGAGGTCGCAGAGCAAGCAGAGGCCCTCATGGTCAACTTTGGCGCTAGCGAGGATGCGTTCCTGGATGTTGTGTTTGGTGTTGATGGAAGCGGTCCGGAGGGTCTGCTGCCGTTTGATCTTCCTAGGAGTGACGAGGCGGCTAAAACGCAGAAGGAGGATGTGCCGTTTGATACTTTGGACCCGGCGTTCAAGTTCGGCTATGGGTTGAGGTATGAATAGTAATCCCAGGGACAATGTAGGATTATGAAGGGGATTTATGGGTGATTGTATTTAAGAACATGATAATGAATATTTCACATGAATAGAAGTTTGCATAATTTGATGAACTAGAGGAGTGTTGAAATGAGTTTTCTTTTGTTGAAGGGGGCGATGTTGTTCTAGCCTGACTTTTGGTCTACACATAGAGCATAGCTGCCTGGGGTACGTGTAAACTGAAGCTGGGCAATGGAAAAGATTATCTCTCTATGGTGCCTGAGTAATGGTGGTAGCCTGGAGGGGAATCGGCTGATTGGATGAAAGTACTCATCTGATTAGCTGGGGTGCCCGAACATCACATGAAATACGATTCTATCCTTGCTCTACCCTGCAGCACCTCCAACTACTCTAGAAATGATAGCCGTGAGGCTGCTAGCTTGTATACTGCAGATTCAGGGTTCAGTAGAAGCACGTGCAGCATGAGAAGAGGGGAAGAGACGGTGAAGTCAGCGCGATCAACATAGGATGAAGGGAATATCCTGCCATATCCTGTGACGACAAAGTGCATGTTGAGTATGATGTAAAGAAGGTATGATGTAAAGAGCAGATACATAACAGGGTCACTAGGCAGCTAGCGGACCGACTCAAAAGTTCACGCACACCGCTCCGGTGATGACCGCGCCACAGTGGCTGAAGGTCAGGATACCTTTGGGTAGCCACGAGAACGGGGAGCTCCGGTGTTGTGGCGGTGCAGTGTCTCTTAGTATTCGTTACACTGTACTTACTGTAGTCGCCCTAAGCACTACCCGCACGCCACACCGAGATAGATCATCTTCCAGGACACCACTGCATCCACACCACGTATGAATCTAGTATATGCGCGCCCCATCAGCCTATTCTCCGGAAGACCCTGATCTTCCCCTTGATACTGCGCGACACGCGGGGGGGACGGGTCCATTCCATCACAGAGCCAGTCGATAGTCGTGGAGGGCTGAGGCCCCCTAGGCGCACTACCCATGCACAATGATCACAGCCTACATGAACACAGCCTGGTCGGACGTCCAACCCACCCACGCGAAGCTTCGAAATGCGTCCAAGGGCCCGCAAAATCTCTCAATACGACGCTGCCTATTGCCAGCTTGGGACTTTCCGCCCAGATGACGCCATGGTGTCTTGTGAGATTGACCTGAGCTCACGGCTGCCACCTTACCCTATTCCCGTGGTTTAAGTGTCAGATGTTCGCCGCCGCCTGCGCTATCTTTTAACTCCACCACCTCAGCACAACCACCTCGACTCTTCACCACCAAACTATGGGACGCCGTGAGAGACAACCTTCGCCCCCCCCTCCTCCCCCTATGGGAGCCCCGCCATGTAAGAAAAAGTTTCTGGAGTATTGTCTATCAGCATACTAACTCTGTGCAGCCGACTCCACTTACGTCTTCGACAATTACGAGAACGGCAAGCCAAAATGGGCGCCTGGCAAGGACCACCAGCGCGATTATCATGAGTACCGCGATAGCCGCCGAGGAGATCATCGCCGCCCTCGCAGAAACAGGTATGACGAAGATGAGGGGCCTCCGCCTCCACCGCCACAAGCACAGGGTGCATATCCTCCACCCCCGCCGCCAGGACAAGGAGCACCACCACCACCCAGAGGTAATTGGCCAAATTCACCTGTCCATCCTGACGTACCAACTAACGATATTGTAGAAGCACCTCGAGACTCTCGACCCCGCCATCACCGCAGACAGCCCTCATACTCCTCCGACTCCGACTCAGGCGGTCCACCCCCACCTCGCCGCAGCCACCGCCGCGAAGAGCGCCCCCGCCACGCCCGCGAGGACACCTACGACTCATACGACGAAAACTACCCTCGCCGTCGCCACCGCGAATCCGGCCGCGACCGCGACGGCTACAAATCCGAAGGCTACAAGTCAGAAGGCTACAAATCCGACCGCCGGCCACGCGACCGCGACCCCTACTACGACGACCGCGACCGCGACCGTCGCGAGAAATCTCGCAGCGATAGGGATCGTAGACACCGCGATGACCGCCACGGCGACCACCGCTATGACGACATGTTTAACAGCCGCCCTGCGCGCCGTGACACCCGCTATGACGATAGGCCATCGCGCGATAGACGCGGGTACTATGATGACTATGAAGACCGCTATGGCGATCGCAGGAGGAGTACGAGGGATAGTAAGGCGAAGCCGGAGTGGCAGAAGCAGGCGCTGGGTATGTTTAAGGATTATGCGCTGCCGATTATTAAGAAGGAGGGGGCCAGGTATGTGCAGAAGCAGATGGCTAATGGGTTTGGGAAGCGTTGAAGCGAGGGATGTTTGATGAACTTGATGAGTGTTACTCTTTTTTTCTCTCATACGAGTGATAGACATTTTGGTATTTGAGTATGCAGCGGAATTGGGGGATTACAGAGGGGTTCTTTGGGGTTTCCTAGCTAGGCGTTATGGGGCACCATGCTGATGATATCCACCTTTTTCTCTTTCTTTCTCTTTCTTTTTTTTTTCTAAAGAAATCGTGTTTTTGATTTCGAAGGGGGGTTTTTTTAAACTCGATATAGACCATTGACATACGGTGTATTAATTTTCGGTTAATTCAAACCCTGCGTTTTCATTGACATTTTTCAAAAGGCCTGCAAACATGTAAATCGGATGCAATATATACATAAGACTTCCTCTTTTTTTCTGTTCCAGACACACATTTCTAAGAATGGCCCCCCTTATCCCCTTCCACGGTACAATTAACCTGACTCTGAATCCCCTCGACATTCGCACAAGTGTACAGGTTCGTGCCACTTGGACTCTTGACATCGATGTTCTCAATCGAGATATTACGGCAGACTTTTGGGCTGGAGCATACGACGTAGCCGACGCGGGGAGCGTACTTCTTGCTCGTTGTGCCCTTGAAGTTTTTGATGGTGATGTCGGAGATTGTGAGGTTGGAGGGGAACTACGTTGCGTGTTAGCAAAATTGTTTTATTTGGGTAAAGGGAAAGGAAAAAAAGACAAAACGTACCTGATTACATAGGGTCAAGTTCTTCTGCCCATAACACTGTGTAATCTCAATCGCGTAGTCGACATTCTTGACGATCATGCCGTCATACGTGACATTTCGCACGGCGCCGCTGCCGCCGCCACCTTGCAGGTCGCCGGAGAGCGCGGACGAGGCGCCAGGCCAGACTTTGATGCGTGCACCGTCAGATGCGTTGGACATGGAGATGTTGCGGACGAGGATGTTTTCAACAATGTCGACTTCGCCGGGGTACTGGCCGAGCGAGCCGACGCTGATGCCATGGCTGCCGTTGCAGACGAGGTTTTGCACAAGGATGTTTGTGCTGTTTGGCTTGAAGGAGACGCAGTCGTCGCCGTTGTTGATGTTGGAGTTTTGGATGACGATGTTGTTGGAGCGGTACGTGTCCCAGCTATCAATCACAGTGGTCAGTCTTTGATATGGAGTCATGTTTTGGAGGTAGAGAACTCACCCGTCAGTGTTCTTGGCGGGATTCTTGCTCTTGCTGTCACCGAAAATGTCAATGTTGGAGAAGACAACTTCACTCGAGTTGGCGACGAGGGTGTACCACTGCGGGCTGTAGCGGAATTTGAGATCAGAGATTTTGGCGTTTTTGGCGCCAATCAGGCCAAAGAGGATGGGCCGTAGGATGTAAATGTCTTTGGCGTAGAGGTCGTACCAGGCTTGGCCATTGCCGTCGAGGGTGCCGCCGCCGTAGACATTGATGTCCTTGCCTCCGAGCTGGAAGAAGGTGGTTGCATTCTGGAAAACCTGCTTGAAGGAATTGGCTTGCCAGTAATCAGTGTCGTTTGTGAATTGGATGGTTCCTTGAATATCTGACGGAACTGTTAGTGAGGTCATTTAGGCAATGCAGGGGTTGGACGAACCTAGGTCAATGGAATTGAGGAACGTGAGATCCAAGGCAGTGCCAATGGTGAACTGCTGGTTCTTGGGGAAAACAACATGACCGCCATTGTTACATTGCTTGACAGCGTTGAGAATGTTTGCAGAATCGTCCTTGCCGCCACCGAGAGCCTTGAGGGTGCAGATCTTCTTTCGGGAAATCGGCCCCAAGGATGCCTTTCCCGGGAAAAACGGCACGGGCGGGAGACGTTTTGCCGCAGCAGCCTTTGTTCCAAGCTCTTCAACCGGGGTCGATAATGCTATCGAAGCTTGTAGCAGGGCGCACGAGAAGATGTCGGTGACACGCATGATTGCAGCCGTTCAGAAACCGCTATGGTTGAGTATTGATGGTAACGGCTGTAAGTCCAGTCTTGTCGACATGCCAGAGGGCTTGATATTAATACCCCCCATGCAATATCCTCAAGCCGTTGGACCCGCGGCCTTGGCTCTGGTCTTTGCCCCCTAATCTCGACATTTAGGTTAGTAGGTTCGTGGGCGCGGAGGAATTGGTGATCCATCCACGGTGATCCCAGTATCTCCTCACGGCCACAGTGGCTAGAAAGGCCCACTTCTGTGGCACTAGGCTAAGAAAAGCTAAGCTTTCCCCATCTCCTTAGCCGCTTGGCCGAGCAGATTGGTGGGTTTTTTCCTAATCTCCCGTGCCACGACCGTCTTTGAGATACCGCCTATGTGAGCATGAACGTGCGTTGATTCTTGGGTGTAAGCGTCGTCCCAGTGGTCGATAACTGTGAGAACCTTTATGTACTGCGAGTCAGCAGCCCAGGATTTAAACCTGTCTTACATGGCACGGTACACCGTTTTTGAGTTCTGACAACCTTACACGGACGTTGGGACGTGACGTTACTGTTCTTGTTGCTGCTTACAAAGTCAAGTCTTGTGCCATTTCATAAGTTTTGTCAGTTATCCATAGAGTTCCTGTTAGGTTTAGAGGGTACAATCACCGAATGATCGCTACTGCAACCGATAACTGCAATCTGTTCGAGCCAGTACCGGTGGTTAAGTAAAAATAAACGAGCTAGACTTTGTAAGCTCAATTTGGAAAGCTAGAAACGCCAGGAGATTAAGAAACTAGTTGGAATTATCAAGTGATTCTAATGCTTGGAATTATCAAGTGATTCTAATGCTAGGAATCACCAGTGTGGAGCTGTTTTCTAGCGTGGCAGGTGGCTTGTAGTCGCTTCTGGTTGTGCTCATTCAAGAAAAGGCGATTTTATTTCTCCCTAGATAGACGAGGCCCAGATGCAATGCATATATGAGATTACGTGACCAAGTGGATATCACGCGCAACGTCTTACTTCCATTTCTCCAGCAGAGACTAAAACCATGACAACTCCTCACCACCGAAAATTACCACTCTGATTTGCAGGCCGCACATGACACATATCACACATTGTATCTTGAAGAATCGTGCCTAGCAAAAAACCACCACGCCCGAAGTAATCACCCTGACCCTTCACAACCGCCACAATTGTCAAGCGGACGCACCCGCAGCAGGGTCCCTCTTCGCTTTAGTGTCTTGGTACAAACTATCTACTTACCTAGCTTAACCCTTCAAACTGCACACAACCCCCACATCCCCATCCCGCCACTTAGCCTGGCAAATACCTTCTCGCAAGTGCAACCTTACATTCACCCGCTTCCGCGATAGTAGCGACTAGTTGTATCCGTCTTCTTTTGCGGGAGACGGGGCGCGGGAGACGGGAGTGGACGGCCGTGCGTAGGGCGTGGTGTGTTGTACAGCCGTTTCTCTTGTGGTACGCGTCGCTTGGGGATAGGGCGGACGATGGGTCGGGGGATTCGAGGGGCAGACGGAAAGGTGGAGGACGGGTAGAAGTGTGATGTGGGGTGTGTGATTGTTTTTCGCTGGGAGGATAACGGGGGTTTAGGGGTTTAGGGGCGAGTGAGGGTAATAGGGTTAGTGGATTTTGTTTGATTGGGGATAAGTATAGGAGAGGAGTTTTTGGAAGGGTACTTGATGCGATGAGTGGAGAAAATCGTGGGATGGGTTCGGGTATTTACGGTACTTGAAGATGGAGGTGTGGTTTTGTGAAGATGATACTGGAGTGCGAGAAGAAGCGATTGGGCATTTGCAACGCCTAGTTTCTTGACTTACTGCCCCGTTCGCGCATCGTCATCGCTATACGTGAAAAACACACATATAAAAACGATAAAACTATACAAGGAGATGTTTGTAATGTGTAGTTAGTTGGCTGGTCATGTATGCAATAGGTCAATGAACCTAATCTGACACCGCGTCATCAAAAAGCGACAACTCCTGCTTGCTGAGCGTGAAATGTGGGATGCCATACGTCATGATGATTATGCTGCGATACATCGATTGATGTTTTTTTATTATGTAGAAAACAGGGGAAAGATGCGAGATCGTGTCAGCAGTGTAGAAACGGGCATATTGCTTCGAAGCCGACAGTAGTAGAACTCGATCTCATATGATGGATGGCAAATGTCAATGAAAGCCTGATAACTTATTCAATCAACGAGAATATACATTTAATTTCAACACGAAAACCCAAATACTTCCTAAACAGACGATCGAGACACGTTACAAGACGCAATAGAAGAACATGAACTCTCCCCAACTAAGCCCATTCAATACCATTTCGCTCACACCTTCCTTTTACACTTAGCCAGCATTTTCTCTGTAGACAAGTTGATCATCAAACATGCACGGTGGACCTGTAGTAATGTCCTCCTGCCATACGCCCTGGTCCAACGGCGTCCGCGGCTCATCGGCAGTCGGACTCGAGCTGTTGGTGAAAATGCTATCTGAAGAGCTCTGATGAAGTAAATACGCCGTGTCAGTGATGGATATCCCCTGCGACATTGGGCTACCCATGTAAGATGAAGTAGAGGAGAAGAGATCCATGTTGCAGCCATCAGGTATGGGGCTATCTGGGAAATCGCTGTTCTGGGATGTGTAGCCAAAATCAGTCTCGCTTCCGGTGTATGGGGAAGGCGGAACCGAGGACGGGAAACCGTAGCGATGGTACGAGGGGTCAAAGGCTGCGGGGACCGATCGCGACATGGGCTGAGCGCTGAGGTAGGCTTCGTGCATATGGGCAGATCGCTTCAACCGCGCGGCACGACGGGCTGCTTGACCACCCTTTGCGCCAGAAGCCTGACGTTGGGGCTGGGGTTGATGAGTGCGATTGCCGCGCTTGTTGGGCTGCTTGCTACGGTATCGCGTTGTCGACTTTACGCCTTCGCGAATCGCTTGCTCAGTAAGGCGCCACATGAAGCCTCTCCGCGCCTCGTCGCTGGGCTGGTCGACTTTCTCGAATGCCTGTCACTCTGTCAGCCACTAGTCGACCAGGTCACCATAAGATAACGTACGCCATTCATTGATAGATTATGCCTG